ACGAGGACCGGGCTGGGAGAGGGGCTGGGGGCTGGCGCCCCAAGTTCGCAGCCTCACATCGTCTTCATCCTGGCTGACGACCAGGGATTCCGAGATGTAGGGTACCACGGATCGGAGATCAGAACGCCCACTCTGGACAAGCTAGCTGCTGAAGGGGTTAAACTGGAGAACTATTATGTTCAGCCTATGTGCACACCATCCAGAAGCCAATTTATCACTGGAAAGTAAGTTTACTACTACTTCATCATTCGCCTCGCCAGCTTAAACGCTGTCCCTGTCGCAAAGAGCACGGGTCTAGCCGGGCTCGGTGCACCGCTGCCTGATCCTGCGGGCAGGGACGTGCCTTCCCGATACACTGAAAAACCTTGAACAAAGCGGACTTTCTAATACATGTGAAATAACAGCGAAATAAAACCCCACGCTCTGTGAGCCAGTAAGGATTCAACCCCGTGAGCTACCCCTGCAGAGCGCTGTAGTACATTTACGTTTACTGCGTTACTAACATACGTGCTAGTTGTCAAGTAATGCTGCTGTTACTGGGAAGCGATCAGCTTAGGTTTTCTGTGCAATTTCAGAGTGACTTACAGGAGTGGTCTGTGTCGGAGCTGAAAGCGTTACGTTTTCCCCAGCACATGCGTTGCAGCCGGCACGTTGGATCACGGGTCTCGCTGCATGTTGACTTAATGCGAGTCCTCTCTGAGGGTTATATTGAATTTATGAGATGATTCCCCAGTTTATTTTCTCCTTTCCTTGACTATAAACAGGAACAAGGCAATATTAATATTGCTTGTAAAAGAAACACATGGGGATGAGTGCAGGGAATCCAGATGCTTCTCGGGATCTTCTGAGCTGCAGTATCACTCTTGTCATGATGCGGTTGCTGCTCTGCAAACGATGAGAAACTTTTCTCTTAAGCCACTGAAATAGCTGCCTCATCAGAATGGTAGAAGCAGTGGGTTGGCATTGCGTGCTTTGCTGTCTCCAGTAAATTGTGTTTTATTGTGGTCTGTTAAGTAAATAACCAATTACTCAACCTCAGGGGCTTCTTACGTGTGGAGGTTAATAAGGACTTGGGGGGGTAATACGCGTTTGAACTGTAGGAACAGTTCCCACGTAACTCCAAGTGTGGACACATTTACTCTGGAACAAAAATGCCTTGTTTCTGTTCAGCTTAACTCACTTTGACAGGAACAGGGAACTCTTAAGAGCAAAACAAAATGAGAGGAAAAAAGCTACATAGTTTGTTTTCTCCTTTCCTTGAGTATAAACAGGAACAAGGCAATGTTCATATTGCTGGTAAAAGAAACACATGTTTAAATAAAACAAGCAACTGGCCTGGTGTCTCACATCTCCATATGGTAGAGCTGGAGATAATTCCCGGTCTCGGTCTGGGTCCCAGACTTGCTGGACCAGGGAGATTTGCGTGGAGACTTGACATGTTCTCTAGAGCAAGGCTTCCCCACACGTTTTTTTTTTCGGTTTGGTTGTTTTTCTTCTTTTTTCTGTATGTGGACGGTGTCTTAGAAGAGAAGTTATTCTGAGACACCTACTCACTCATTCACAAGAACAGTTGCCCTGCGGCAACTACAGCAACAGCTTGCAAGGGAAGCATGTACCAGGATAGTGTTTAATGCATCTTGGTTGTCTTTAAAGCCGTGCAGCAGTTGGAAGCAAGGACCTGCGCCAGCAGCGTGTAGCCAGCCAGCGTTCTGAGGCCAGTGGTTTGGGAACCAGTGCTTTACAAAGGGAATGTCAGGCCGCACAACAATGACTCACGCAGCGGCGGGAGGAACGGGATGACTGGGTTCCAGGGGAACCAGGGTGCTGCGTTGACTCTTGGACACTCCAGAGGTTGTCTAAACACGAAAAGGAATAAAAGTAATGTAAGGCTTAACAGTAACTCAGTTTAACTGTTTTGATCCTTCATTAAATATGGAGCAGTTTGTGTGTAAATACATACTAATATTAAACGGCAGGCATGTTCTGCAGAACCCTGCTCTTTTCATCGGCTCGTCAGGCGGAAGTGGATCTGCAAGTCTGCCTGCTTTGGTTTTGGAACCTTCTATAGGAAAAAAGAAAATTGCTTATACTTCATTTTTATTTTCTTAGTCTGCTGGTCTGAAACCCTTGGAACATTTTTTTCATGTTGTTCTACTTTGTGAAAGAGGAGCAGCAGAGAGAACTGCCTCGCATGACTGAGAACTAAGGGAGGGAATGGCGAGGGGTTAATGGGCTTGGGTAGAGTATTAACAAGGTAGATTCAGGGGATACTATTATCCCTTCTGGCTGAAGATAAATGCTAGTGATAACTACTTTTAATGCTTTCTTAGTGAGGCGCATTAATTAAAATGCCAGGACTCAGAAACTTCTAATCCAGCAGAAGTGTTGGTATTTCTTGAATTCCAAAATGTGTTAGTTCAAGGCTAAAAGCCTGCTCGTCCACTGAAAGATCACCTGGATGCTCCATGCCTCCCAGTACACGTATTGCACTTGACATGTTCCAGACATTACCTGACTGATCTATGAAAGACAGAGGGACTTGTGTAAACCAGACTCATCAGGGAGCACTGATTCAA